CTTTCAAACAAGATCTATGAGTATTATAAAATTCTAAAGAAAAAAATTCATAAAATTTTATTGTGTTCATTGTTACTCATAGTGAAATTTCTCTCACTTCTTACAGAGTGAAATTTCACTCAAAATAATGTTGATGTGCAATCAATACAATATATTTTTTACATAGAAAAGTCTAAAATTCATTATTAATTGCAAAAAATTGGGTCCTTCATTTCTAATTTTATTACTAAAAAATTCAAATTGAAGGTTCCAAAACAACAAATTTTATTTTTTTTTATTTTATATTAAATCAGTCAAATTTCACTCTATATATAGTGAAATTTCTCTGATTTTGCACAGTGAAACTTCATTGTACAAAATCAATGAAAAGTATTATTTTGAACTCTAAAAGATACAAATATGAGGCTCAATTGCAAAAGTTAGGTCCTTAACTTCAAGAAATTTCATTGGGTGAAGCTAGTGCAATTGCACAAGTCAAGTGAAATTTCACTGGCATCAATTAGAAATTGATAGACTTAATCAGTAAAATTTCACGGATTGAAATAGTGCAAGTACACAAGTCAGTCAAATTTCACTGATTGAAGCAAGTGCAAGTCAGAGACTAAGTCAGTAAAATTTCACTAATTGAAGCTAGTGCAATTGCACAAGTCAATGAAATTTCACTGGCTAATTCTAACGAAAAGCTAAAATCAATTAACATAAAAAAATAAAAAACACAAATCAAATAACATAATCAAATATTTATCAATCAATAACATATAAACCGACTAGATCAACGGTAGGTAGATGGTGTTGGAGAAAGTGAAAAAAAGAAAATAAATGATGAAATCAACTAGATATGAATGGGAGATGTGTGAACGATAATGAATGAAGAATGAAAGTAGAGATAGTCCTAGTGAATGAAAGGGAAGTGATGCTAATGGATGTAAGAATGATAGTAGAAGTGGTGGCGGTGATAGTTGATATAGTTATAACGGCACCGTGGATGCCATGGATTTGAAATTTTTAATCAAATAAACAGAAACCAAAAAGAAATCTAAGAGAAAGAGAGAAAGAGTGAGAGAAAAAAAAGAAAAATAGAGAGAGAAAAGAAAGAAAGAACTGCGTATAAAAAAATTAGAGAGAAAATTTAGGATTTCTAGGTTAAAAAATGTATTTTGGACCATGTATATACAAGTTTGTCCTTATTAGAGATAGCTACGATGTAGGTTTGGGGCAAGTTTGTCATCCCCCGCCCCCATTCCCGCTTTCAAACCCCACCGCCGCCTCCACCCCAACCCCGCTATGGGTGTAATTTTTCAACCCCATCTCCGCCCTCACAGATATCCGTGAATACCCGACTACATTTCAAATAGCTAAAAAAATTGAGAACTATTTAAATTTTTAACACACTAAATAATTTCTCTTATTTCCATATATATAAACAGTGAGATTTTAGAATTGTTAGTTATTTTATATTTAAGCAGAACCACAAACTTTTAGTATTCCTTTCTTATATCTAATTATATTATATATATACATATATATTATTAATTATATCGGGTCGGGTTTGGATTGGGGGAGGCGATACCTACCCCCGCCCCACCCCCATTGCGGGTGACCAAAATATAATCCACCCATATCCTATATAAGTGTCGGGTTGGATAAAATCCGCCCCATTCAGGCAGGTATGGACGGGCCCCCGCAGGTCTAACTAAAATGGCCATCCCTAGTCCTTATCTTTTCAAAATTTCAAATCCTGAGAACTTTAACTATCAAATGAATTTTTGGTATCCCCAAACTCTTATTATAGACATGTTCTTTTCCTAAATTCTTCTTAAAATACTTTCTCGTATTATCATTCTATAATAAAATACTAATTTTAAATATGGTGAATTATATTAACAATCCCTATATATAGCTTGGAGCTCGTGTCACTTTGGTCACTGACTTTTCAATTGTGACACATTTGACCATGAATTTTGAATCTTGTTCCAAATAAAGACAATTAAAGATACCATTGCTCAATTTGAAGGACAAAATTGTCAATTTGATAAAATATAAACTAATTTGACAAAACTAAATGTCAAAAAAATATTTTTTAAATTTTAAAAATAATTTCTACCCATCAAAGATAAAATTATATAAAATTGATAAATCTTTTAGACATTTATTTTTTTTTTTACCAAATTAATTTTTATTATGTGTTTGGATGATAATCATGTAATGGGTGATTGTTAGGCTTTTAATGTGTAATCGATATATTTGATATATGAAATATTTTTTGTTTTGGATTTTTAGATTTAACGGATTGGCTTAATAATGATATCAAAATTGTCGTCATATTTGACTTTTGAAAACAATATAAACTAATTTAATGAAAATAAAAACAACCATCTATTACATGATTATCATCCAAACACATAACAAAATTAATTTGGTAAAATAATAAATAAATAAATGTCAAAAAAAATTATGAATTTTACATAATTTTATCTTTAGTGGGTAGAAATAATTTTTAAAAATTTAAAAATATTTTTTTGGCATTTATTTTTATCAAATCAGTTTAAATTTTATCAAATTGACGACTTTGCCCTGAAAATTGAGCAATGATATCTTCAATTGTCCTTTTTGGGAATAAGATTCAAAATTCAAGGTCAAATGTGTCACAATTGAAAAGTTAATGATTAAAGTGACATAAGGCCTAAATTATCAGGACTATTAATGTAATTTGCCCTTTTAAATATGTTTATAGATTTTTTTTTAAAAACAAAAATTGTGTTTCATACATATAGAAAATTCAAAAACTTGTTTTGAAATAAGATAGATGTGACCGGGGCGAGAAAAGTGCATATAGATAGTTGTTGACGATGAAAGGTGGTGGAAACTTGCTCAAAGTGGTTGCTAATAGGGCGCGAATGGTGATCAAGGAGGCAACATGGAGACTATAAACAACACGTGCCGTCCACTAGGGGTGAGCGCGGGTCAGTTGCAGCCACGGAACCTCCAATCCGCCATCCGTCTGCCAGATTGGCAGATTGAAGAAAATCAATCCGCATCTGTCCGCCAATCCGGCGAATGTAGATTGAGTGGTTTGGCGGTTTGGCGGATGGATGCGAATCGGTTTGGCGGTTTAAGATTTTATAAATTTTCAACATAATTCAACTTGTGCACTTCCTAAAAAAAAAAGAAAAAAAAGAAAGAAAGTATTACCGTCAATGACTTAAAAAACTATTACAATCACTGTATGTCTTATCCAAAAAAAGAAAGTTTGAAACTTTAGAATATCACAATCACTGTATGGCTCATCCACATATTACAATCACAGCATGATTCATCCACATAAAGTATTGCAATCTGTGGTTCTTAAAATATAATAACAATTCAAACCACCAAAACCATGAACAGGGCAGTAGTAGAGATTGTATGTCTCTGTATTGTTACATCTATATATGTTTTTGAAAACAAAAACCAACCAGCATATATCATATTTTCCATTTATTGTTTTTAGAGTTAAATTTAAAAACCAAAAAATATAGATAAACAATACGTTTATTTTTTTTCAATTCAAAAAATATATTCAAGTTGAAAACTTTTTTTCAACAGAATATTTAAACTCTTTTTCAATTGAAAACACAAACAAAATATTTACAAATTGAAAACATAAAGTCTTATAAATTATTAGGGGTGCTTGCGATTTGGTAGTTCGGTTGCGGCCAAAGGAAACTCAAATCCGTCATCCGTCCGCCAAATTGGCGGATTGGAGAAAATCAATCCGCAACCGTCTGCTCGTCATCACGCATCTGTCCAAAATGTGTCGGATCGGTTCGGTTGGCGGATCGATAAATCCGCTGCTTACCCCTACCATCCACTTATATTTTGAAAATGACACTTTGACCTCTAATTATAAAAAATGTCATTTAACTCCCTATTAATTTTTAAATATGTTCATAAATATTTATATCACGTCTTTCTTTTCTCCTTCTTTTTGGGGTGAATTTCAGCTTGTCCTCTTTGTAAAATTCCTTACAATCTATCACATAAATGTTTACTTTTGTCAAAATACTCTTATAAATTTTATATTATTTTTTCTCTTTTATATCTTTTCTCTAATATTTTTATCCACATCCATCTTTCTTTCTTTTCTTTCTTTTTAGTATGCACATTTTTGAGTTAGTATGTTATAACATTATTTCTTCATCTCTATCCACATTTTATGGTTTTCCAATGCTTTATGTTATAACATTATTTCGTCATCTCTGTCCACATTTTATGGTTTTCCAATGCTTTGTCTTCAACCTCTTCTACTACCCTAAAGCACTACTCACCTCGACACCAATATTTTGAAAACCAAATCGGTGAAAGAATCGGAAAAGAGACCGGATGGACGGGTCATCAGTTCAACCATTGGGTCAAAGCGGTCGAACCGTAACGTTATAATTAATATTATATAATTAAAAAACATAACTATAAATTATAAATAAATAAAAATATATAAATACTTAAATAAAAATAAAAATTGTTACATAGTATTTATTAATAATATTTAATAAAGTCATAATTAATAAGAAAAAGTCACTTGTTTTAAATAAATTAAATTATTTTAACATTCCTTTCAAACAAATTGATTAAATGCTAGATTTAATTTTGGAGGAAAATGAAATTTTCAACTCTCCTTCTAATCAATATAATTCAAATAATTTGATTGAATCAAATAATTTGATTGAATCCCGCATAGAATTTTATAAGTTTTCTTTGAAAATTTTTTTCCTATAAATAATAATAATTTTCATAATTTCCTCAAACTTCAATGAGAATCTTCCTCATGAAAAGAGACTTTTGAAATAAAATTTTTTAGTCAAAATTTTAAAATATATTTATATATATATATAGGAAAGAAATAAAGAAAAGCAAAGAAGAAAAATAATAAAAAATTAAAGATTCCCCAACTGCCGGGTCGATTCAAAACCGATGCCTGCGGTTCTACCGATTTTCACAATATAAGCCTAATTCGATTTTGGGGTTCTTCCGGACCGGAACTAAGCCTAGGTCCCAGTTCCACCGATCCGACCGGCCGGTCCGATCTGGGTTTTAAGTCATTGGGGGCCCCATTGCTCCTCCGTCGGGCGAAAAAGATCGAGAGAGAGATCTTCACCCCTGATGAGTATTTCTGCTCTGGCCACCTTGTCTCCTACTACCTTCCCACTCTTGCCGTCCATTGGTGGGTATGTCTATTCCGACTTCCCCTCTCTCTCTAGAACCTTGCATAAAACTCTCTTGTTTTTGCTTTGCTTTGTTTTGTTTTGTTTTTTTTATTATCTTAAAATCATTTATTTGTTAACTTGTTCACTGTTGTAAGAAATAGACTTTCAAGATCCGTTGATAGATTGTGAAGAAAAGAAAAAAAAGAACAGAAACATTAGCCCCTTCTCTAATTGCAAACACACATATATAGGTGCTAATCTGATATCCAACTCCTTCAATTTCTTTATGAAAGCAAACTCAAATTTCCTCTCTATTTTCTTTCTATTTGTAATTGATGATTGAAGTGTTTTGACTTGATAAAAATGGAGTAATTGTGGTGGTCGGGTAGATGGAAGAGAAGTGGAAAAGGCAGAGATGGGATAGCTCGAGAGAAATCTTCACCCTGACGAAGATCAAGAGATCGAGAAAGAGACCCATGCCGCCACTTCTTCCATCCAACCTTCGACTACTATACTTGCGAAGATGAAGAGATCAAAAGATCGAGATCGCCGGAAAGGTTTACGTCGGTGGATACCATAGAATTGCCCGATAAATAATTAATGAAAGGATTGTCAACTCAATTACATAAGAACCACATAGTAACAGACTAACAGTTACTTCATCTAAATTTTCTTTTTGTTACGATAATTTATGAGTATTGATACGTGTATATGGACTATGGAGTATCTGGGTAATTTGTTTAAGTGAATTTCGGTGTGATGTTTGGTTGATTTATTTCATTTGAAGTCTCTATTTTATTTGACTTAATGCGTAAGATGTTGTTGCATGTTGCAATTTAAGTTAGCTTAATGATTGCCTGTTATCAAATGTCTATACTTCTAAAAATCTCAATTATTGTGTTGTGTTTGTAAGTTTGTGCTATATGAAATATTTTCGATTTTCCAGCTTCATATGGTTTCTGGAATATACTCATTCTACATAAATTATTAACAGATTTTTATGTGGTTTTAACTTTTAACCAACTTGTTTGAATATGTTACCATGCAGTTTTTTGGCTTCCAAGTTCAAAGAAAGAATTCCACTTGGCAGCTAAATCCTTCATGTGCACTTGTCTTGTATTTTTCTTGGGCAATAATTACAAGACTCTGCTTTGTTCTCCCTTCATTAAACGCCTTGCTTTGATTATCTAATTTTTTATATTTTCTTTTTTGCTCTGTGCACTTTGTCTCTGCATTTTGCTCTTACAAGCAGTTATGGAGATTATGTGTTGACTAACTCTGGCTTTAATTTTACTGGTTTTACTTTGGCTTCGATATATTGGCTAAATCAGATGGACTTTGTTCATGGTTGAGCGCTTCTCATACATCCATGATAGACTAGTCATCAAACTTTTCAGTTTTTTTGCTTATTCTGGATATTGAATATGACAGATGCAGTGAGGGTTAACCCTATTGTCTTCTTTGAGACTCCTTCAAGAGGAAGATAAAGATCATTTTGGTAGAAATAATTCTCTATTCTCATCTTCCACAACTCAGAAGTTTGAAACATTGAATATTTTAATCTCGATGTTACTTCTTCCACCATGATTCTTGTACTAGGAACCAAATATTTTCTTTATTATTGAGCTTTGAGGTAAGCTCGAACATGAATAGTATAAATGAGCCGAGAGCTAGATTAATTTTCGATCTTGATTTTCGAACTTGATAAATAAATGAGTCGAGTTCAAGCCATGCAAAGCTCGATTTTGCTCGGCTCGTTTTTAGTCCTGCACAGGACAACTAGATTGAACATGAGTTACAAACCATAGATTGAGAGAAAGGTCGGACTCAAATTCAAAGGCTAGAAGGGGAAGACCATGCGCATGATAATGACTTAACAACTCCTTCCCCATGTAGTTTTCACAGTTGTTTCAAGTGGAGCTCGACAAAGACACCTTCATTCAGCCCCCCCGTGAAGAGAGAGAGAGAGAGAGAGAGAGTTATCTTGGAACCGAAGCGATAAACATGTTTTTAGCGAAGGTCTTGAGGTGATGAAATTAGGAGCATGGCTTTCAGATAGATAGGCTAAGAGGAAAATGATCAAGCTCTGGAGGATTTATGTCCTTGGCTTGTCAGCTTTTAACTAGTTTTCAAAGAAACATATGATGATGATGATTAACACAACTGGTCACAATCTAACTCCATTTTCAAATGGAAATGGTGTTGGTGTCAGAGACTTCAATCTTTAGGTCTTGGCAAAACTCTAGGTTTAATCCAATCACATTATGAATGGATGGATTTTCTAGAAAAGTGAATTAGATTATAAACAGATAGATTTTCCAGAAAAAGCAATTTTTTTTTGGTGAAAAATTCAAGACAAATTTTACCAATAATCCATATCATTTTCCTTGCATTTCAATATGGTTCTTGTCATTTCAATTACAATATATGTGTGACAAATAAAAACAATTACGGAGGATAAATTAAGAAACTCTCTCTGTAGTTGAGAGCTTCTCTCTCTATACTTTTCTTCTCCTAGGTTTCTAGTCTGTAGGGAGGCGGTTTCCGATGACCTCCAATCTCCTCTCCCCGCCTCCTATCCCACTTTTTCTCTTTCCTTTCCTTGCTTTGCTATTCAATAACCTGAAAGCTTTGGCTTTTCATCCTCTCCCTCCTTTGTGAGGTGTTTCTTCTCCCCTTCGCTGCAACTCCGGCCATGGCCTCACTAGATCCGCCGTCTCTCCTCTTCTCCGCCTTCATTCGGCATCGCTTCTGTGTCTCCTCCTGGTTAGCCTTCAACGCCCTTGCTCCCCGTTCTTTCTCCTCTGGATTCACCGCCTCTCTTCCCCAAATCTGTCGCCTTCACCACCGCCGGATCCGTCGCCGCTGCTACTGGAAGTTGTGGTCTGTGGGTTTGTGTTTTTTGCTTTTGTTTCTTGGTTTTCTTTGTGTTTTGTTTCTGCTGTTGATTGGTGGTTTGGAGTCCATCGGTGATTTGATTGGCAGGCTTACCTTCTTTGTGGTTGAGGTTTATGATTTATCTCAGAAATACTTTATTACCGAGCTTCTTTGTGGTCGGGATTTATGATTTATCTCAGAAATGCTTTATTACCGAACTTTAATGATCGGTTATCTTACCATACGAGTACAAGCACAAAATGTGTATCTGAATATTTTTATAATTTCTCTGATTTTTACTTTGTTTGGTGTAAATTTTAGATTAGATAAACTCTTGTAAATACTGTTTGGCTTTCCTTCATGAATTTTTCTACCGGTGAAAAAAAAAGAGAGGACAATTTCGGTGTTCAATTGCAATGAGCTTGATTCCAATGATAATTTTAATTTTTTTTTTTTTATACCACATAAAACTTCTTACAAAACAATACCAAAACCCACATAAACCATGCAATTCTGCTTCTGCAAAATCAAAATAGCATCATAATGGAACCAACGGCTCCAAGCCTTCAACTGACTTTACCAAAACTTTTTACTAATTGCTACACTGTGATATACAGTACTAAAATCAAAGCCCCCTTTCAAATGCAATGGCCTATATATTGATTAACAACCAAAAAAATAGCAGATGAACAAAATAATACCATATACAACTAATAAAAAAAATATAAAATCAGACACAACTAGCAATATATCAAAAATCACAACAAATATTAGATTAATAAAGTATTCAAAGAACATCTTTCTGCCACAAAACAACAGAACATCTAGAACTTAAAAGTCAAAAATATCAACTTGTGTAACTTTGATCATGCTGTTACCATGAGCGACCACAGTTATAGACCATATAAATGTATCAAAATCTCAAGGCCACAATCCAAAAATAATTATACTAGTAGCATCTATGGCCATATTCGACAAACCACTCAACATTATATTGCCAATTACATCATTAAAACAATGTCATATTTATTTTTCTCACCAAAAACGCAAATATAAGCTGTAGTATATAAGCTCAAGCACACATAACATGAAATGAAGTCTCAAACAGGTATTCTGGTACTATAGAACTAATATGTAATCCCTAAATACTTGGGGAAATATCAAAAGTAACATTGTTCGGACAAAATTATTTTAAAACACATATTATAGTAAACCTAAATCCTCATACTTTCATCATCATCAACATCATCATTATCATCACTGATCCTATTAGCCACCGCCAGATCCGTATTTCTTTCCCAAAACAATGAGCTGCAACTTGTCGTAGCCAGCGAGCACACCAGCTCCTGCGACAGCACGCAATATATTTGCTCCAGCACCCTTAAAGAGTGATTTAGGACCTTCCTTCTTGATGATCTGATTAAATGCATCGATGGAGCTCTTGTACTTGACAGCTTCTCCCGATGTCATCATCATCCTTCTACGCACGGTATCAATTGGGTAAGAGGCCAATCCAGCACCAATGGTGATTGCCCATCCCAGCAAGAAACTAGCTAGGAAACTATCCTGTAGATATTAAACACAAAATAACCAGTTATGCATTGTGTGAAAAAAGACAACCCAATGCTAGCCTACAGCTTCTGGCTATATGCATTGTGATGCAGGTGTGATTTTAGCAACAGAAATTTTATGTTGCGTTCAATAGGCAATCTCATGAAGCATGGCTCTTCATATTATCAAGTAGAAATAGAAATTTCCATTTTCATGTTTCTTGCCATGCCGAAGGTTTTATTTATTGGTTTCGCAAAGTTGAAATTTTCTTTAAGTATATTGAAATCTTTGAAGAATAGCAAGTCAAGTATGCAACACGCAAGTTAAACAGCCATGCTTGCTTCTACATGGTGAGTAGCAACTGTGATGTGATCGGAGACGACAATATAAAGAATCCATTAGGATGTGGCACAATATAACGTTGATGAGCATTAAATTCCTTCAATCAAATCATGAACAGATGTTATATGAACAATATCAAAGAAGGTCGAGTTGAAACAACGGTTCTACAAATACACACTATTTTTCACAACTTTAACTATTATGTGATTGTGGATACAAATTATTCAATGAGTAAGTTGATGAGTCTGTCAAGTTCAGATTAGCAGTATATTGAAGGCAAGAGGGATATGAGTATTCTGATATTTGATAAATATGAAAACAACAATAAAGGCAAGATGTTAGGAGATATTGTCGAACGTGATGTAGGAGAGTTGGGTGGAAATAAACGTGTTCAAATAGTTCAAGCAATGAAAACTCAAGGAAGAGTTTATTCAAGTTGGGAAGGATGATGTAGGCGCAATTTTAGCAAATAAATATTTTTATTATTTTTTAAAATATATTTTGACTAGGATATTTAATTCCCACTTGTTTATGTTTCCTCATTTGTTTTACAAGAATTATCATTATTTGGTCTACAAGACATAATTAGTTTCCTAATATATTAATTTCCCTTTTAATATTCCAAGGTTTGTTAGCATTTCTACTACAATAAATAAGCTTGTAAACCTTATCTAGCAATTAGCAGTGTTTTAATTATTAATACAATTTGAGAAAAAAGAGATTTTCACTTCTTTTTTGTGTGTGTTTGTGTTCGCTCTTCTTGCATAATTTTTGTTTCTTGCATTATCAGGTTGAGTCATCACCAAAAAAGATTAGACGATGGTGCATAAATGAACACAAGAAAACACATATACTACAAAGACATTTACTTAAAAAGATGAGGCAAGAAATGAACCACTATGACATCCTAAGAAGCACGGACACTTCTAGGAAGGTAACATATCCGTGTCGCCGACACTCTTTGAACACTTCCCCGACACATATCCCACACTCTACAAAACGTGTCATTTTTTCAAAACCCGAAAACTCTTTGGACACTTCGAGGACACACGTGTGTATCTTTTAAACACATGTGTCTATCGATCAGACACGTGTGAAACTAATTATAAGTTTGAACAAAACAATTTAAGATACAATAATAAAACAAAAACCATATAAATTTATAAAGATTAGTGTCATATTGCATTTTTTATCATCTTTGACAGATATATTCATATATATATATATATAACATATAATAAATATATAATATTTCATGCATGTCCCCCACGTGTCGTGTCCTGCATTTTTTGAAAATTAGCATGTCAGCGTGTCCGTGTAATATATTAATTTCCCTTTAAATATTCCAAGGTTTGTTAGCATTTCTATTACAATAAATAAGCTTGTAAACCTTATCTAGCAATTAGCAGTGCTTTAATTATTAATACAATTTGAGAAAAAAGAGATTTTCACTTCTTTTTTGTGTGTGTTTGTGTTCGCTCTTCTTGCATAATTTTTGTTTCCTACATTATCAGGTTGAGTCATCACCAAAAAAGATTAGATGATGGTGCATAAGTTAACACAAGATAACACAAATACTACAAAGACATTTATTTAAAAAGATGAGGCAAGAAATGAACCACTATGACATCCTAAGAAACACGGACACTTCTAAGAAAGTAACGTATCCGTGTCGCCGACACTCTTTGAACACTTGCCCGACACGTATCCCACACTCTACAAAACGTGTCATTTTTTAAAAATCCAAAAACTCTTTGGACACTTCGAGGACACACGTGTGTACCTTTTAAACACACATGTCTATCGATTAGACACGTGTGAAACTAATTATAAGTTTGAACAAAATAATTTAAGATACAATAATAAAACAAAAACCATATAAATTTATAAAGATTAGTGTCATATTATATTTTTTATCATCTTTGAAAGATATATTCATATATATATATAACATATAATAAATATATAATATTTCATGCATGTCTCCCACATGTCGTGTCCTGCATTTTTTGAAAATTAGCGTGTCGGCGTGTTTGTGTCGTTATCGTGTCATGTCACGTGTCCGTGTCCATGCTTCTAGATGACATCTAAGCTGCAAATATTTTCCCAAACCCATGTAGTGTAGAACCAACCCCATCACCGCTCCATTTACAATTTTAAGCAATTCAAATATATAACAATTATGTTTTATTTGTTTCAGGTATATGGCCATAGAACTGGATTATGTATCCTAGCCAATCCTGAATCTCATTTTTGTATACAAAAAATCTCCGGACTGATTTGACAATTACACCAAAACTGTGCATACAAAATGGAGGATCAAAAGAAGTCCAAGATTAAGATGTTAAATGACCAAAATACCCTCAAAATATAGTCATTACACCATGTAGTCTATGTACAGTGATCCCAAACAAACATGAGACAGAATAGGATTGTACTAATCTCCCCTCCTAATTCACATGCATTCCAAACATGGGATAGGATATGTAATCCTTACAGGATTAGTAATCCCTACAGGATTAGTAATCCCAAAATTATTAGTCCTAGGACTAATAGTCCCATATAATCCAATCCAACAAAACATGCATGGCCTTAGCAGGTTCCCTCTTATTTTACAAAGCTACACTGAAAAGAATACAAGGGGTAACATAAATAGAAGATAAAGATCCAATACGAAACAAAAGGCTGGAATAAGTTACCTGCAAATCACCAACCAGAACCACAGGTTTCAAGGAATCATACATTCCAAAGTATAGCCCACGGTAAACTATGATTCCCACACAAGAGATGTTGAATCCACGATAAAGCCCAGCAATGCCATCAGATTGAATGGTTTTCTTGTAAACATCAATTAAACCATTAAACTGCCTTCCACCACCTTTCTTAGCAGCTTTAGCATCATTAGCCAAACGTGTTCGAGCATAATCTAGGGAATAAACAAAAAGAAGAGATGAAGCACCAGCAGCACCACCTGATGCCAAATTCCCAGCAAACCACTTCCAGTAGCCATCCTTGTCTTTCTTGAAATTAAACAGCCTCTTAAAATAATCTTTGAAAGCAAAGTTCAGGGCCTGAAAAAGATTAATGAAATTGCAAATTCTGTGAGACATTCTATAAAACAAGACATGGCATCACTTCCTTCAAATTTCAGGATTTCAATCCATCCCTTTGTTAGCAAACACATATATATACACTAATTATTATGCAATTGTTATTTCTGCAGACCACACACTCACATAGGGTTGTTCCATCATGTGAGAGGGAGGGTTGTGGAAGAGATGTTTTGGACTGTGGACATAACTGCTCCCATACTAATCGAGAGCAGAAAAACGAAACAAAAGAAATGGCAAGATTAACAAATATAAACAAAAGATAGACTAACCTGGGTTGGGAAATATCTGATAACATTGGCAGTGTTGCCTCTCCACAAAGAGAGAATGCCTTCATCCTTAATTGTTCGGGCAAAGCAGTCCGAAATTCCTTTGTATGGTTCAGACAGCCGACCAGTTTTGATCATCTCATCCTGATTCTGAATCAATAGCTTAACTCGCTCTATCGGAGCAGCAGCAGTCTTGGATACAGCAGCAGAAACTCCTCCCATGAGGAAGTCTATCATAAAACTACGAAAACCTTTTTCTGCGGGAGCTTGTACGAAAACAGAGGATAGTGGTGATGCAAATTCCAGGCCAGTGCCTTGGAATGTTGGTGGCAGAGGACTCTGCAGACCTCCATTTACATAGGCACCAGTCATATTGTGTAAACCAGTATTCCTGGAGCGCAAGTTAGGAGAAATTCGAGATAAGAAATGAGATTGCCCATGTATCTTCTGGGTAATTGAAGGATACTGTGATCCATCCGCCATATTTGCAACTCAAGGTGGTGACCTGCAACAGAAACCAACATTAATTGCATGCAAGAATAAAACAAAAACAAGCATATCAAATAAAGAGCACAATAAAGGTTTAAATAAAAAGGAACAATAGAGAAAAGGGTTTTTCCCTTCCCAATCTTTTCACTACTATAAACACTGGTGCCAAAATACAAGAAGAAATTCCATGGAAATACAATCAAGCATCCCAGGCAATAAAACATCGATTGTAGAAGACTAACATGAGATGTACTGTTCTTTCGAGCACAGGTGAAGAATATCTGTAATTGTAGGTCGTCTAGTTATGTTGCCAATGATCAACATAATCACACATACAAGCCTACAAGTTTGCATGTGTCCCCGATGCCCACAAGAAAAAATGAAAACAGCAAACGAAAAGAGTCTTACTCACATTCAGTAAAGTCTTTGCATCTTTTCATATGCTTGCGCCGCTTAAGTACTTCCTATGTTTATTCATACCCAAAAAAATTAATCTTAAATTACCCATTAGTCAGGTCAATAGCAGAATTCACCTATTCTAGCAACCTGAAGTAACTCTACTGAACAAAAATGACAGGGAAAAAATATATGAAAGTATGAACCCCCCAGCCAAAAAATTTTAAAAATAAAAAATATTATGGCAGCTAAAATTAGTTCATTACAATACAAAATATATATCACAATAGAAGACATGGAACCTTGAAATGCAGTCCCTACAAAAAGCTATTACTTTAACAGCATCAAGAAAAATTCCAATCATAATTTCAGAAGGTTTAACGAGCTTTACCAAATTCCACCAACAAAAACTGTGAATCTAAGTCTTCCTGTGTGGCCCCACAAATGAACATTATAGATTTCTCATAAGCTAATGGTTACAGACAAGAGAATAAAAGAAAACAAATTGAGTTTTGAATCCTATGTATTTTCCTTTAAGCAGCCAGAGTGAACAAAAGTCTCCAGTAAGCAAAAACAAGAACATATGATTCTAACACTCAAGCTTGAACATGTAGCTAGACAAATTTAGGAAAAGCAGCCCTCATAAACACAGCACCCCAACATGCATTTTTTCTTTAATGTCTCAATAATATTCCATTTAGGCCTAGTTTGGAAAGACTAAATAAGTGCACTTTTTGACTTTTTTTTGTATTATGTGTAGAAAAAGTAGAGAGAAGATGTTGATTGATGCATATGATTCTAACACTCAAGCTTGAACATGTAGCTAGACAAATTTAGGAAAAGCAGCCCTCATAAACACAGCACCCCAACATGCATTTTTTCTTTAATGTCTCAATAATATTCCATTTAATTTCCTGCACTGCAGCAGTAGCAGTAGCAGTAGCAGTAGCAGTAAGCTCATACAAACACCAAACAACACAATGGGCTACTTCAACAACTAGAAGTTCTACAAAATCAGAAACTACTCGTACTCGACTGATTGCATGATAAAACAATTCAAACATCACTACTACAATTATAACCCAAATCAAGTTAAGATCTGAAAAAAGATTAAATTTTTACACTGTAATTCGTTTGGCTGCTGAGAAATGATATGAAAATAACCCCAAATCCCAGATGGCTCACCCTAACTGAGCGTAAAGCAACTCTACACTTAAGTAGGTAATATTTTCTCAATTTCTGGAAAATAATCACAACATAACAACATTCAAGTCATCATAATTCATTTTCCTTTCACCTGTTCAATTTTCTCAGCAACCAAACAGACATTAAAGAACATGACTTTGTAGCTAACAAGAGAGCATATAGAGATCTAGATGTGAAGAAAAAGATGATGAGACAGAGAGAGAAAAAAAAACTACCTGCGAAGGTCGCCGAGTAAGCAACGGTCCGCCTGGTCCTGATTTGTGGGAAAATATGAAGGAAAGCTGCGAGTCTGCGAGTGTTGTGTATATTAGACCACGAGAGAGAACACTAGGGTTAGTGTCTTATTTACAGATTTGACACTGTTGTTCTTCGATATTACCAGCCTGCCACTCACTCAAGGGCCCAGCCTACGATCCCAAAGGTGTGGGATTGAACTCACTCTTGGCCCAATTCTATTTACACAATTATTTTAATTTCTTAGGGTATTTTTAACAGTGTGTCAAACATTTTATTAAATTTAAGTAAAAATTTAAGAAATTTCTCTAATCTGATATTCAGCTCTTTAACGGTGAATTTTTTAGCTATCAGCAAAATGCCAGTCCATCGGGGGACGATCGGCAAGTGAAATCCGAAAATCTACCTCTGCTTCAATTCCATTAATACACTCTGTTGATCACATTCCATTACAACGCGGAGAACCAAAAAAACTATAATTGAACAATTCATCCAACTCTGTTGTTGATACAAAAGTAGCATAATCAAAGATCAATCAGGAACAAACACACACAGACGGAAAGAGAGAAGGGACCTTGAACCCTTTTCAACTTTGGATTGCATTTCTCAAAGGGCGCCTGCTTCTTCTTCAATCTCCTTGAGTCTCTTCTTCATGTCCTCCAAGTCCTATTCAACATCAAAATTATGGCAAATTACATATGAGTAGAGAGAGAAACAGAGAGAGGACCTTGGAGTTGAAGTCGTCGTCTTCAGCGCTATACATGTCGACATCGGCATCCATCTCTCCTTCATCGGGTATATCTCCTCTGTACACTACATGTTTCTGCTCTTGCTCCTGATGCTCCATCTCTCTCTCTCTCTCTCTCTCTCTAACCTCTCTTACTTCATGTTCCTTCCATTCCATTAATACACTCAATCGGCGTTGCCTTCCCACTACCTTAGAAATTGGTAGTCGGTTATGCTTTCACCTCCAAGAGGAAGAAGAGCTTCTTACAGACCAAACTCCTTTGCTTGGCTCCGTATTTCATTCATTCATCTATATATGTATAATCTATATCTCTCAAATCATTAAGGGTGTGTTTGTTTTGAAGGATTGTGGCGTGAGATTGGATTATTAGGTGTTGTTTGGGATGATTTAAATAAATATATTTTTTGTCTTTTTATGAAAAGATGTACAGAAAAGTAGAGAGATTATATGATGAGAAAAAGATAAAAAAATAAAAAGATAAATTATTTTTGAGTTGCTAAACTTAGCCTTAGTCTCACTGGACTAATAGTCCATTGCTTGTTTTAATTTTTTTGCTCTGGGATTAATAGTCCGGACTATTAGTCTCATATTTGTGGAACTATCCTCTCCCATGGGGGAGGTGAGATTATTTTCATGGGATTGGTATCCCATTGAATTTAGCTCTGAAATGTTCATTTTACCCTATATTATTGCTTAGCAAACAATTAGAAAATTATAAAATAGTTTTTTGAACGTCTATAAATTATTTTTTTAGTGTTGTTAATTTAAAATTATATATTAAATAAAAAATTTTAATTACAAACTATTAATTATAAATTAAATTTAATTAAAAATAATAAATTAAAAATTTTCTTTATAAATTAAATTTTTTTAGTATTGTTAAAAAATTAAATTTACGTATTAAATAAAATTATTTTTTTAGTGTTGGTAATTTAAAATTATATATTAAATAAATAATGTAAATTATAAATTTAATTTAATTAAAAATAATAAATTAAAAATTATGGCTTTATAAATTAAAAATTTTTAGTGTTGTTAAATTATAAATTATAGATTACAAATTTAAAATTATATATTAAATAAAAACTATGAATTATAAGGGTAAAATAGTTTTTTGAACATTTATCATTATCCAATCCGTCCAACTAAAAATCCAGATATCTAATCTCATGACTAAATAAACATAGGACACAAATCCAATCCAACTAAATAGTCCGAGGACAATGTATCCTAGGACTAACAGTCCGATGGATTACAATCTCCCTTTATCCAACATGTCCAAACAAATACACCCTATGGCATATGCACCTTCTAAGAGGATCTCTAATGTTTTCTTTAAAAAATTTCATTAAATTTTATTTAAATTTGATAAAAAAAATTTGATCTCATATTGTACATTTCAACGGAATGATATGAAAGGACTACCGGAGGACAACCTTTCCAAAAAATTTGTAAAGAGGTGGTCGAATGGGGGACATTCAGCTAATTGTCCGATACTCAAGAGCTAATGACTCTCTACAATTGGCCTTATAAATTAAATTTTTTTAGTGTTGTTAAATTATAAATTATAGATTACAAATTTAAAATTATATATTAAATAAAAATTATAAATTATAAGGGTAAAATAGTCTTTTGAACATTTATCCTTATCCAGTCCGTCTAACCAAACATTAGATTCACTAAAAATGGTCCAATCCAAACATCTAATCCCATAACTAAACAAACATAGGATATAAATTCAATCCAACCAAATAGTCCGGGGACAATGTAATCCGGGACTAACAGTCCGATGGATTACAATCCTCCTTTATCCAGTCCGTCCAAACAAACACACCCTAAGTTCTGAAAATTGTAATTTTGTCTCTCATCTTCAATTTTCTTTATATAGATATATGCAAATGCAATTTTTTATATATCTATGTTTGGTGTGCGGAGTAATTTTTAGTTTTGTGGAAATTTTGCAACTAAGGCCAAGTTTGGCAACCCAAAGTAATTCATCTTTTTATTTTTTTATTTTTTTTCATCATATCACCTCTCTATTTTTCTGCACATCTTTTCGTAAAAAGACAAAAAGTACACTTATTTAGGTCATCCAAAATAACTCCTAAGAGGATGATTGGGAGACATCCAACCGGACCGGACGTATGGCCGGTCAATTTTTTAATGGCTATCTATAGTAAAATGTTGAAAGGTGATAGCTATCTTCAGTTTAGTAAAATATTTTATATATTCTTAATTTAATATATGTTTGATGAAACTATTGAAGTATAAAAATAAAAAAGAAAACTTTCAACAAATTTAAATTTGGTGATGGATTTGGTATAGCATTGGAGATGTCCTTACCTCTACCAAATTATATATATATTTTTAATTATCATTATTCAACAAAATTTTTATTAAGAAAAATTTTATTTTAATACCCAAAAAAAAAAATTCACAACACTCCCTGCAACTCCCCACTACTTCTCTCTATCTACTGGTTTCGCTACAGTTTGATTTTGTCATCCCTCTATGTTTTTACGTTTCTCATAATGAGACCGGTGTGTATCACTTTTATTTGATATTTTTGTGAGAAAAATATCAGAAATAACATTTACACTCCTTACACCATTAAAGTATCATTGCTAAAAGAAAAATATACTATTTTGACACTATTAATTATTAGAATATGATAATAGTTAGGAGTGATTTGGAATGATTTAAATAAGTACACTTTTTGATTTTTTATGAAATATACGTTGGGTATAGATTGGGTTTGAAATGATGTGATAGAGATATGATATGACTTAAATAAGATGATGTGACTTAAATATAATAGTGATTTTTTGACTTTTTAACTTTTTTAGGCTATAACAAATAAGGTCTTAAACCATCTCCAACCATTTACCAAATCCATCATCAAATTCAAATTTGATAAAAAATGAGTATTTTTTGTGCTCTAACGGTTGCACCAAAGCAGTTTCAAATTGAGAAAATATCAAATGTTTCACTAAACTGAGGATGGCCAGCCCCTTTCAGCAATTTACTGTACATAGCTATTGAGTTGGACCCACCAGACGACCGGCCAGATGTCCTCTGGATGACCGCTTAAAAATTTGTGAAAATTTACATTGACAAGTCGACCCCTAGGTCGACCACCCAGTCGACCACCTCTCACTGATGCTCTGATTTGGACGTTCTTCAACAACCTCAATTATCAAGCACCTCTCTCTATCTGTATGTGATTGAAGAATATCTATCAAAGAACATTGTATTCCTTCATCTTCGTCTCAAAATCCCATTTTCGTCTCAAAATCCCATGAAAATCCATCATTTTCTTCACCCAACAAGCTCAAACTCTTCAACCTAGTTAAGGATTTTCCAGATTACGAGGCAATACTGTGTTGATACGAGCAAAGTGGTCGACGAGATCAACCTCAAGTTCGCAGAGGCAAGGGAGGAGATACAGACGACCTTGGATTCCAAAGAAACTGTGTATTTCGATGAGGGGTTGCTAGCAAAGTTGCTAGAGAAGGAAAATGGTGTAATACAGAGGTCTATGGGGCTCAAGATTGAGCAATTGAAGGCTGAGCTTGAACAATTGAATGATTAGTAGCGAGGTGTGTTGATTAAACAGAAATGAAGGAAAACAAAATCAGAACAGAAATGGAGAGGGAAAAAAAAATTAGTGGCGTAACTGGTCGACCGGTCGGTCGTCCGGCTGGTCATCCCACCGGACGTCCCTACCATTTGATACAAGCAACAATGTTCACCGTTAGAGAAACTCATATCAGATTGAAGAAAGAGCTTTTTTTTCATCAAATTTGATGGAAAAAATAGTTCACCATTGGGGATACTCTTAGTCATTTAACTGTTGAACTATTAAAGATACTTTTATCTCACATGTCATGCAATTAAAAAAATACATATATTAATAAAATATTAATTGTGTTACATTAATATGGATAATGTGGTCGTTAAATATGTAATAAAAATCTTTTATTACAAATATGTAAGGTTAAAGTCTATAACTTCTTAATTAAAAATGTGCAAGAAATGTGCAAGTACACTAAGCATTGGAAACCATAGACTGTGGATAGGGATGAAGAAATAATATCATAACATACTAACTTAAAAATGTGCATATCAAAAAAAAAAAAAAGGAAAGATAAATGTAGAGAAAATATGAGGGAAGATAAAAAAAAATTAAAGAAAAGAAAAAATAATATAAAATTTATAAGAGTATATTTTGACAAAAGTAAGCATTTATGGTGATAAATTGTAAGGAATTTTATAAAGAGGGCAAAGTGAATTTTACCCTAAAAAAGAAAGACGTGATATAAAGAT